TAAGGCCATCAATTAAACCTTCCTGCCTGCCTAGATTTTCATCACCCGATAATAATAATTAATAAAAATTAATAAATAAATAATTTATTGTTTATTTGTTTATTGTTGTTGAATTGTGCTTGTCAATGTGGACAAGACATGCCTTAGTCGTATGAAAGACACAATTTGGACTTGGAAATAATTTACAAGTTGGAATTTATTAAAGCCTTAGTGCTGGTGTAGGTGTTAAGGCATTTTTTTTACTTGTGAAAAACCACTAATTGTAATTATTTTACAGGACTTTACAATTTTTTACAGGTGCTTTTTTATTCATGTAAGAGTTCTTATCACAACAACTCTCTAATATGGTTGTTTTACTTTCATATACCTAGGATTCTCCAAAAATCCAATACTTATTTATTTTTAATACAGGGCATACCAAAGATTCTTTAATATATTAGATTGCAATACAGCTACTACGTTGCCTTAACACACAGGGTGATAGAAGTTTTCTACCTTATCAACTATTTTCAAGACTTTATTTGCTCAAAATCTATAAAAAATTCATTGTGTGTAAAAATAACTTGGAGCGGTTACGCAATAACCAAACTTCTGGAGATATAGCTTCTGGATTAACAAAATCATCATCTGATTCTTCTTCTCTCTCCTGAACTTTCTTAGTAAGTTCAGAGATATTTCCTGTTACGGTTCTCAAAACTCCAATCATTTCTTGCATTTGGGCTTTGATCGCCATGATATCATGTTCAGATGAACTACTGGCAAAACTATCTCAACCTGAATTAGAAGAAGACGAATTGTTTGACGAAGAGGGTGCAGTTGAAGAACTATCCAACGAAGTTGAATTGATTAGCAACAAACTGGAAACAACAGTTGAAATACCATCATCTAAGGCACTGTTAGATGATGAAACTGAAGTAGATTGTTTGCGCTTATTTCTATTAGCTACAGGTGACATGGCCTTTAACTTTCTAAGCTTCTTAGCAGCTTGAAGTTTTCTTGCATTCACTGGTGTTGTGGGGTATTCTACTTCAACTGCTGGGAGATCTTCATCAGATGAAGAGGAGTCAATATCTTGAGGCTTCTTAGCGACCATAGTATGACAATTTTTTTGAGCATACTTTCTATTATTAGTTTATTCAATTGTTGTTTTCAAGAAACACTACTTTATCTCAGTAAACTTCGATAAGAACACTATCTGCTAAAAGGGTCAGTGTGGATGAGTCATACGTAAAATATATTCCAAAAATTGTCACAACCAAGTCAAAAAATGAAGTAGGGATTGAAGGATTCAAAGAAATGCTATTATCACCTTGGCGATATGAATTAAGCGACATTAATTGACCAAAAATTAAGAAAATATTTTTTGAAGGTTACAGGATAATACACCCCAAAGCCTAAATCAAGATCTAGTGATTTATATTTTTATCTACCTCCCACGAGTGCGTTGGCTTTTGCAATTAAGAATTGCCCTAAAATACTGTTTACATTTACTACACTACAAGAAGAGATTGACAAAGCCGCACTAGCTATGCAGGGTAAAGAAATTGCTGAGGTCAGCTTGTTTGTGTTTTGTAATGGTATTCAAAATTCCATTGTAAACAAGTATTGCAACACAAATAATTGCTTGGTAATGAAATCTGGTATTCACAAATTAACAACCAGACAAATAACCTCACAAACACTCTTTCCAAACAATTTATTCCAAAATATAAATTACTTCGAGAAACACCAAGAATGATCAAAGAATACTCTGATTTTTGCATGGAAAACACATCAATACTGCATGTACCAAACGGTATGGAGGTAATTGTTCTTGGAGAAGAGGTGTTTAACTCATTCTTTAGT